TTGTAAAGAAACCGTAAGGTAAAATTCGATTTGTAAGCAATAAGAACGGTCGGCCTATTTTGAATTAATAATTCGTGATAAAGGTTCCGATTTTGGTACGAAAGCATAAACGATGGTGTATAGGTTTTTGCTAGTTAGCCTAACGTTCCAACTTTTATCATTTGAGAGAGTTTTAAATGCGTTAGCGTTTTGGTCTCTCTCTCTCTCTCTCTCTCTCTCTCTCTCTCTCTCTCTCTCTCTAGTTTAGCTCTCTCTCAATCTCAATCTCTCTCTATCTATATATTATATTTATCTCCCCCTCTCTCTCTCTCCTTCACTTTTCTCTCTCTTTCATTCTCAGTTCTAGATCGTAAATTGATCAAGTACTAGCTCATTGTCAAGTACACGCCTTAAGTGCTACCAGTAAAACTTCAAAACCATATTTTTCAGTCAATAAAGTCACTTATCACGCGAAGGTCATTGATGCACCTACAAAAAAAAAGCTTTGAGAATAGTAAAAGGTTATCTTCAGCAAAGATAAAAAATTAGTCCTTCATCGAAGATAAAGTCGATAGAACACACTACGATTCTGTTTTTTGTTGTCATCATTGTCATTAGAAATAGTAGTAGCAGTATCAGTGGCGTAATGAGCAAAAACATTTTTTTTTTTTTTTGGGGGGGGGGGGGGGGGGCTGACAAAAAAACCGCATCACCCAACTCTTACATGCAGGCCCCACTGATCGTTTTTCAAATTGTGGTCTAGGGGCAAAGCCCCGGCGGGGGTCAAGGGGCGAAACCCCCGAAGCTCAAAGGGTATGGGCATCAGTGGCGGATACAGGAATTTCTTACCGGAGGGAGGGCACAAAATGGCATGGGGTGAAATATATGTAAAACGATGAAGCGACGGAGCGAGGCTTTAGCGGCGAGGGAGTGGAGCGACCAAGCGGGGGTGGGTTTGGGATTTTAGAACCATATTAGACGCATTTTCAGGCACTTCCTGGAGTAATATGACGTACAATTACTTTCTCCTATACCCCCTCCAAGAGTGAGGATCTTTTGCAATTTCAGAACCACATTTGGCGCATTAATGTCCACCGGCACTTCCTGGAAAAAATGGAGGCCTTCTAATTGGTTAGAACTTAGAGAAAAGTGATCTGTCACGTCGTGAGACGTTGTATATGCTTCGTTGCTGCACAAAGACGGTGGTCCGGTACTTCACCAGCAGTACTTGCAAAACTTATCTCGAGTGTATGAACTGTGTTGTTATCATGGGCGTCGCTAGACCCTTTTCAGTGGGGGAGGGGGTGTTAGAGACCACCAATTAACGACAAAACTAGCCAGCAATGACCGACAAAAATATTAATGCCAATGTCTACAAATTTAACCCTATAAACCCGGGCCAGCAACTAAGTTATTTTCAGTTTTCCCCCCTCCCGCGGAAGCTTTGACACTTCATTAAATTATTAGAAAAAAAGACGATCCGTTGTACCGTTCTTGACTCTTAATTCTTGTTTCGCCCCTCCCACACGAAGCGCGGAAGCTTTAAAACTTAATTAAATATGAGATAAAGAAGACGATCCACTGTACCGTTCTCGACTCTTAATTCTTGTTTCGCCCCTCCCGCGCAAAGCGCAGAAGCTATGACGTTTCTTTTAATTATTAGAGAAAGAAGGCGATTCATTGTTTCAATGATTATATTATTACTCTTGATCCTTGTCTGAATTCATTTTTCGCCCATCCCGCGCAAAGCGCGGAAGCTTTCACGATTCATTAAATCATTTGAGAAGGAAGACGATTCGTTGTATCGTGTCCTTGTCTGAATTCAGTTTCCCCCTCTCATAGCGCGGAAGCTTCAGTTACTACTACTATACTACTACTACTACTACTACTACTACTACTACTACCAGGCGCGTAGCCAGGGGGCGGTGGGGGCGGTCGCCCCCCCCCCCCCCCCCAAAAAAAAAAAAACAAAACAAAAAAAAAACGCCGGCCAAAAAAAAAAAGAGAGAGAAAGAGAAGAAAAAAAAGAAAGAGGACGTAGGAAGAAAAAGGGAAAAGGAGTCGAGAACGGTACAATGAATCGTCAAAGCTTCCGCGCTTCGCGCGGGAAGGGGGAAACTGAGTTCAAATTAAGAAATATGAGTCGGGAAAGGTACAACGAATCGTTTTCTTTCTCTAATAATTTAATGAAACGTCAAAGCTTCGCGCGAGAGGGGGGGGGGGGAACAGAATTCAGACAAGGATTAAGAGTCGAGAAAGGTACAACGAATCGTCTTTTTTCTCTAATAATTTAATGAAAGTCAAAGCTTCGTGTGAGAGAGGGGAGGGACTGAATACAGATAAGGATTAAGAGTCGAGAGAGGTACAACGAATCGTCTTCTTTCTCTAATAATTTAATGAAATGTCAAAGCTTCGCGCGAGATAGGGGAGGGACTGAATTCAGACAAGGATTATGAGTCGAGAAAGGTACAACGAATCGTCTTCTTTCAAAGCTTCCGCGCTTCGCGCGGGAGGGGAAAACTCCCCCCTCCCTGCACCCACCCCCCTAGGGAGCGCGCTTCGCGCGCTCTTTAAGTGATTCGCGTGCTCACTACCGCCCCCCTAAAATGAAATCCTGGCTTCGCGCTTGACTACTACTACTACTTTTACTACTATTACTACTACTACTACTACTACTTTTGTTTCTGCTGCTCCTGCTGATATATAGGGGAAAATGGGGCATAATGGAACACTTAATTTCAAACTTGCAATATGACGTCATCAACGACACAAAAACAGTAAAAATAACAGTTTCAGATAGATGTTGTATGCACTTTATTATGTCAACGAAAAACCGACAAAAACCACGGTAAAATTGCAGAGAAACTCGAAACGAATTTTACAAAAGAAAAATCCAACTTGCCCCACCCCTGAGGCATAATGGCACTCCCCCCTGGGGCAAAATGGATCTACGGATCCATATTGCCCCACTACAGAACTCTAACGTTCTATATTGAGTAATGTACCTCAAGTAACTTTAAGAATACTTGGTGGGCAGAGCTGCATAATGAAAGCCTATAGTAGTTTCAAACATTTATGGGGCAAAACTGGAAAGGTAATCGTAATAAAGCCTGGTTTAAAAGTAGAAAATGTAGACTTGTAAAATGTGCACTACACTCTAAATTTCTTAGACTGTAATCTGGGTCACATTTTCGTTCTGATACAACCACTATAGGCACATAAACCAACTGCTACTTTGAATTCAGCTAACTTATACTGGCTGGGAAACTAGAACAACTATCGATTGTTTTATGAACCAACTGTACTTTTAGAATGGAACATGAAACATTGGTAAACAGGCCCCTATAAAAAGGGCGAAAACAAGATATGTTATTTTCAATTGGGGCAAAACAGAACCCTGTTCCATTTTGCCCCGTACCTATATGGTCCATTTTGCCCCAATGACATATTTTTTAATAAAAGTTTGCGTAGAAAATCCTTGAAGCATAGTTGGCATGCAAACAGGCGAGTCTAACGTTGATATCTTTATGATTAATATATACAAATATTTGATTAGAATCGATACCAAAATTACCAAATTTCAGCCATATGAACATCCCCTTACCTTAGATCATGAGGCTGTAATTTTTTGGATGGGACCTTACTCCGATGTGCCTCGATGTAACCGGATGAAAATTCAGTGCTGAAGTTAGTTTGGCATCTTCTCTTCTTCAAAGAATTTGCACAGAGGGCGACCTTTTTTAACATATGCTAATTTCAAAGTTCCATTTTGCCGCCCGGGTCCGTTATGCCCCACTTTCCTCTACTATCATTACTACTAGTACTACTGCTGATGACGGTTTTATACAAGTATTATGTATAATTATGTAAGCCAGACAAAGAGATGTTTATATAGATATTAAATTATGATTAAAATATGCAAACTTCCTAAACACAATTGCACCTAGTTTGCCGTCGTTGCAATGCAATTCTGGATTTTCAGAAATTAGTAGAAATATGGCCTCGATCGATTTAAGCGATTGGTTATAGGTCCTTAGCAGTAATTTCCAGTAGGCCTGTCTCCACACGGAATAGGGTAGTGAGCACATTTTTGTTTTGCCCTCGAAAATTTGAAAAATCGCACCCCCTCCCCCCTTGAGCGCCAGGGGGGGGGGGGGGGCATCTCCATAAAAAGGTAAAATTAACGTGTTTTTTTTCCCGGGGGTCCCCCCCCCCCCCCCCCCCCCCCCCCCCCCCCCCCCCCCCCCCCCCCCCTGGATCCACCACTGCGCCCATCCCAGAAGACGATTCGTTGTACCGTTCTCTACTTTTAATCCTTGTCTGAATTGAGTTTCCCCACTGGGTACATGTATTAGTATTATTACTATTATAATCATTATTATTATCATTACTGTCATTATTGTTATTATGATTATTATTATAGTTATTATTAGTATTCAATAAAATAAAAGACGGCCATAAAAGGAAAGTGAATGAGAGTAGAATGGAGGATTTGTTTCTGTTAACTCATTATTGCACAAAAGCTGGTATGAGAATTAAAATTGGAACTACAGTCAAAGAGAGAGAGAGAGGTATGAGATAGAAAGAATGAAAGACTTGAGAGAGAGAAAGGCGGAGAGAAAATCGATATTGGAGTCTATTTCATCTATCTCTAGCTGTGTGATTTGGTTTTATAAATAAAAAATCGTATAGGCCTACAATACTAAGAAAACAAAAGGAAAACATTTTTTAAAGAGAGCAATGAATGAAAGGGTACAAATTGATTAAAGGATTGTCAGCATCAACTTATTGAAAAGTCTGCCCCCCCCCCCCCCCCCCCCCCCCCCCCCCCCCCCCCCCCCCCCCCCCCCCCCCCCCCCCCCCCCCCCCCCCCCCCCCCCCCCCCCCCTCTTCCCACTCTGGAAAAATCATGATAATATAAAAATCATGTTGATAATGATAACAACTACGTGTATGATTATGATGGAGAAAATAAACCTGTCTTTTTGTAAATCAGCTATGCCGCCCTCTCTTGTTTCATCGCAGTTTTCAAAATGGCGCGCTACAGGAACGAATGAATGAGATCAACATCCGATTACGACGCACGTGAGAATAACGCTACACTACAAAATACAGATTGAATTGAAGGTTTGAAAATTTAGCTTTGATCGTAGTGTAATTGTTAGATCTGTGTTTATTTTCGTTAATTTTTTCATTAATTATCAATCAAGAATGTAATGCCGTTTCTGAACGAAAGCGCTAGCGGAAGGCCTTCCCTGCTCGAGCCTGGACTTGCAGCCTTACTGCGGCGTCCCTATCACTTCGTCTCGCTCGCACAGCCTGGGCCAGGCGCGGGCCGGGCTCGGGTCAGCAGCTCAGGGGTTTGTGTATCATATTATTTTTAGTGGGATTCACACAGTAAAAACAAATTAATTAGAGCCTAGATCTAGTGAGATTTAGATTAAATATCAATTTTTCAATCATGATCTGAATCTCACTCTTTAGATCTAGAGTAGAGGCAGGCGCATACACAGGGGGGGGGGGGGGGGGGGGGTTAAACCCCCCCCCCCCTTTGGTAATTTTTTGTGTGTAAACCCCCTCTCTAAAATCCCCCCTTTTGGATTTTTTTTTTTTTTTTTTTTTATTAAAAAAAGTTAGCTCCTGATAGTCTACTGATTGCGATCAAATTCAGAATCTTGCTAAACTAAAAAGTAAAATTTCTCAAACTTTAAAATCAAACTTTAATTTAATATTTTTGATAGACCTAGACTAGTAGACCCTAGTCATTATTTGGCTGAGTGTTTTGAGTGTGAGCGAATAAGTGAGACCTTGATGAATGGTGGCAAAAACTGTGAGATTTGAATCGCGATCCAAATCTCACTGTAACTGTATTTGTGTGTGTGTGAAATTGTAAATGAGTCTATTTTCCCCCAAGACCCAAGGCCAACTTCATTGATTGTTTGTAATCTTTTAGTTCTTGCTCATGCTGTTCGATCGTTCTCTCTCTTGAATGTTCTTGGTCTGGGTAGGCCTAGACCTAGATCATGTTTCGCTCAATTTGCTGTAAGTAAGTAATGTAATACTGGACTGTTTTCTTCCTTCATACCGGTAAAAAGTTTAAACACCAAAATCTGCCCGACAGGGCAAGTGGGTTTTCAATTTACTTGCCCAAACAATATTTCCACTTGCCCAAAACTTTAAAGCGAAAAAGGACTCTGATCTTGAGACCGCAGTAATAAATTGAAAACGAGACAAAAACATTCATCTGATTTATATGAGCAGCGAGTTTTAAATAATATGTTCACAATCATTAACAGTCATTATGAATAAATATCAAACATTTGACTTTTTGTACTTACTAGAAAATCCCTGTTGTTTATTCCATTCCGATTCGCACGTGTTCATTTCCCTAGAATAATGACGTCATATTTGGCGTGATTCAACCAATCGGCAATCAGAGAATAGCAAAGGCCTGTCGGTGCGGCCTGCAGAGCTAGAGAGAGAGAGCGCGAATAAGCTCGCAGCTGGTACGATCGCGCTAGCTGTCTCTAGCTAGCTCACGGCCGGCCGTGCGTGGAGGCGGAGCGGCATTCATGGCTTGAAGTGTCACTGTTGCATGCGCGCTGAGCTAGCTGAGCTGGCTAGCTGTCTGTGAAGTTTTTTCGAAATCGGAACGATCGCTTTTTTGCTTCTGGATTTTGACGACGGGTAAGAAGTTGACGGGTGAATGGTAGAGTTCTTGGACACTAGGAAATTACTGTAAAAGTATCACTTGCCCGAATCGGGCAAGTGATAATTTGATTTACTTGCCCGACGGCTCAATTTGGTTGCCCCGGGACGTCGGGCAAGCGGGTTTGTCGCGCCCTGTTGTGCAAATCTAAAAGTCCCCAATACAAAAGTTAAAGAACGTAATCGCACGATGCGTAAACGATGAACAATGCAATGCATGTAAAACACAATGGACCAGTACTCACACATGCTAGAACAACAACATGACACAGCACATGGCGAACCGAAAAATTAGCCTGGGAAGGTCCCGATTTGTTTGTGGAATTCAAAACAGCTTTGCGTTTATCATCTCTCAGAAACGTGATTCTGGCCCTATGTCACATTCAAAATAAGGCTGCGACGGGTAGTCGAATGCTCGAGTACCCGCACGGTTAACAACTGCTCTGGTACGATTTCTTGTACCCGAATATTCGGCCGCAAAAAAAAAAAAAATAAATAAAATTTAAAAAATGAAGAAAAAAAATGTCCAGGCCCACGCTTACCCGTGCCAGGGAGAGCGGCAGCCGCTGGCATGGTACCATCGGTAAAAATGTTTCCCAACTCAAGCGCTGTCAAACTCACCTTTCAGAAACTGGGACCAAATGTCCAGATTTCTGTTTGGACTTGGAGGAAAATGAATTATTTTGCCATCTTTGGTTTTTAAAACAGCATTGTTTACTGTAATTATTCTTATTAAATCGGCGCCTTCAACTGCAACTCAAAGTAAAGTTGCATGCAGTTTCGGCGAGGGATCTGGGAAACTGCCGAGTGGTATGGTAGTGGCAAAAAAATCCAAAAAATCCAAAAAATCCAAAAAATCCAAAAATTCAAAAAAAATCCAAAAAATTCAAAAGAATTCAAAAAAATTATAAAAAAACATGGCGTCCGAATATTCGAGTATTTGCTTGTGAGCCTGGGAGTGTACTCGGGTACTTCATTACACTGTTGTGCACAGCCTTAATTCAAAACACACTTTTTTCGGCGTTTCAATATACCTATACTAGCAGGACCCACGGAAATCCGCGGAATTCTAGAGGGGGCGGGGGGTGTATAGAGAGTGGCTAAATTTAAACCACCAAGAACTTTATTTGCCATTCAGGCCATTAAAAAAATATACATGTTTAGCGTCCCCGCCCGCTTCCTTTTTGGGGGCCGCCTTTTATTTACTTTTTTTTTTGAAAATTTTTTGAATTTTTTTGTTTTTTGTTTTGAAAGAAAATAAAACAGCGTCCTGGCCGCTTCCTTTTTGGGGGCCGCCTCCTATTTTTTTTTTGAATTTTTTTTGAATTTTTTTTTATTTTTTGAAAGAAAAAAAAACATGAAAAGCACTGCTAAAATGTATTTCTGATTTTAAAAAAGAAAAAAAAAAAATTGTCGGCCGCCATCTTGAAAAATAGCCCGAATGTCAGGGAAAATGTACGGAGTGGCCATTTTGAAAGAAAAAAAAAAAAAGAAGGGCCTCCTCCCCATTTAAAAAAAAACAACAGGACGCTAAACATGTTTTTTTTTTAATTTGGCCTTATATAAAAATTAAAAAAACGATCCAACTGTACCGGTAGTTATTCTTTAAGCCACTGGAACTTCGTTGAGTTCCGTAGTGTGGCGTACCAACTACGCAGAAATTAGGCTGCGTATTAATGGGAAAATAGTCCCTGCGTAGATTATGCGTAGGCTGGTGTACAGGTTTGCTTATGGTTGCTTACTGTGTGGAAAGCTTTTACTGCTTTGTCCATCTGGCGTAGGGTAGCATACTGTTGCATAGGCATGTAGCGTAGTGTTGCGTAAAAAGGCGTACTTTCTGCGTCAAGTTTCTACGCCGAAAGTACGCGAAAAAATTAAACATGTTGAATTGTTTTCGTTCATCTTGCGTACCCCTTTCCGTCCCTCAGCATATAGTAACGTAGGCCAGCGTAGTTGGTACGCAACACTACGCAACTCTACGTAATGACCCCATGCCAATTAGTGACCCGCAAGTGTCACAAATAAAGTATTAAAAATATGCTCATCCGACCCTAATTAAACGCCTAAAACCCCCGAGCTTTCGGGGGTTTATGGCCCCTTCAAACCCGTGGACCCCACGCCTATATTACATATAAACTCAACTCGCTGCGATCTGATCTGTCCCCCCCCCCCCCCCCAACTTTGAAGAACGTAACCCCGAGCTTTTGGGGGTTTATGGCCCCTTGAAACCCGTGGACCCCACGCCTATATTATATATACACTCTAGAGGGGGGCGCAGGCAAAAAAATTAAGTTTTTCATTTCGTGGGCTACTTTTTCAACTTTCGGGGGCTCTTTTTTCTGGGGCTACTTTTTCATTAATTCATAAAAGGATAGGCCTACAATTGTTAAGATTTGTTTAGTAGGCTAAGGTTTCAGGCTTCCTACTTCATAATTGCCTATTTAAAAAAAAAAAAAACATTTTCTAGTTCAATAACTAAGTTTTCATGCATTGATTTCATGCAAGAACTGTTACATAATAGACCCTAGATTGTGATTATTTCTGACCATGAATTTCGATAATCATTTTTCAAAGTAAAATTTTTTCAATAAAATCAGACAGTCATTTAAAAACGTAGACATTAGTAATACTTTTACTAATTCTAAGCTCAGGTTTCGTAAATCTATTCACGAAACTATATTGAAATCGCGGCAATAATCATGCAAACCAACAGATAACAATTTCAAAGTGTCAAATCTCTTCGACTCGAGCTCAGCTCAGCAGAACTCACACACACTACAGCGTAACTCCAGGAAGCTCGAACACCGGCGCCGCAGGCGTCGGCCGCCTGCGGAGCGGGGTGCCAGTGTTGGAGCTTCCCGGAGTTACTAACACTGTGTGTACTTGACTGAAGGCAGCTTGCGACTGAACTGTCAGTCCAATGGTTTTCTTGTGAATACTTTCCTTAAGAAAATGATAATCAAAATTCAGTATACATGGCCGTAGTAATCACAAAATAAGCTTTGATTTCATACCTCCGTTCACGAAAACTATATAAAAATCGCGGCAATCATAATGGAAATAGGTCTCTAAGTTTGGACGTCGACGGGAATTAGCCCGATATCTCTCTGGCTTGTGCAGCTCGTACAAAGCACACCCTATAGCAAGAGGGCTTACTCGGGGGGTAATCCCGCCCTTTGCATAGAGCATTTCATACGCAACATAATGTGAGTTGCTCGTCGTCTGTCGTGTCTCTCTTTGATACGGATGTAATGTTGAATATCCATGAGGTATCTCTGTCGTCACGCATATCCTGCATTATGCATGTCGCGTCTGTTTTCGCCCTGGACGTCGACATGGAGGAGGACCTCGGGCGGAGTATAGCCAATTCCACAGAGTAGACTCTCCCGCGGACGATGGCACCGGGCACGGGTATCCCGAGGGGAGGGTTCAGGAGGAATAGCTGCACCAACTTGGGTCGGCGATCTCATTAAAAAACAATAGAATACAAAGGCTCGCGGAGACGTCGCGCCCCCCGCGGAGCCTTAGCGTATTATTATTATAGATCTAAAGACATTTGAAAAAGGCTTTGGGTTTATCACCTTAAAAATTTGCCTGAAAGATGTTTCAAACTGCTGATTCTAGGCCAAAAATTGGACTATAAACACACCCTAAGTTACAGCAAAACATTGTCTACCCAGCCCCAGGACTGACCATGCCAAGTTCATCCAAGAAAGAATAGGGACTTTTAGATTTACACGACGAGAACGCAGACTGCCCTTTTATGGCAATGTGACGTCACTGCCAGTGCCTTAAAAGGATGTCACATTGCCTTAAAAGGGCAGTCCACGTTCTCCGTTGTGCAAATCTAAAAGTCCCTAGTAGCAAACATGTCAAGGCGAAGAGCAGCCTCTGTGGAACTTAAACATGATAACTTGGACAAATCAGTTTCATCGATTATTAACTTAAAGCCCCACTGTCCTACTTGTAGCTACTTGCTCCCTCTATGTAGAAAACTTCCCCAAGCGGTGCCTGTTGGTCCCCCATGATCCTCTTTTTCTTATGTTAGTTGAGAGCTGAGTTAATGAGATAGCCACCTGACCTTGCTGTGTGGTCTAATCCCTTCTGGCCCAGTAGTATTGACGGTCTTTAAGTGTTAATGTTCCTTTTCTTTTGATGTTTTTTGTCTTTGACGGACGGACAGGTCTAGAGTCGACTGACTTACAGGGAATACAGCACATCTATCAGCACCAAGTACACCCGCAAGGGCAACAGCAAAGATGTCAAAGCGAAGAGCAGGAATGGAGCTTACCCATGACAATTGGGACCAAGAGGAGGAGGAGGCCGAGGAAGTGAGTGTTTTATTTTTTAGGGGGTGGGCTTGTAGTTCCGCTTGTTTACATGTACATGTAAGTGAGGTGCAGGAGAAATGAAGAAGAAGGAGGAGGAGGAGGAGGAGGAGGAGGAGGAGGAGGAGGAGGAGGAGGAGAGGGTAGGAGGAGGAGGGGGAGGGGAGGAGGAGAGGGGGGCGGGGAATAGAAAGCTGTAACTCTCACTTGTAAGGAGGGGGTATCGTCATGCAGAGTTCACACAGACTAGTACATTATACGGAGGAGGAAGAGAGAGAGAGAGAGGGGGGGGGGGGCGGGGCGGGGCGGGAATAGAAAGCCGTAACCATGACTTGTAAGGAGGGGGTTTGTCATGCAGAGTTCACACAGACTAGTACATTATCCAGAGGAGGAGGAGGAGGAGGAGCAGGAAGAGAGAGAGAGAGAGAGAGAGAGAGGGGGGGGGGAATAGAAAGCCGTAACCATGATTTGTAAGGAGGGGGTATTGTCATGCAGAGTTCACACAGACTAGACATTATACGGAGGAGGAGGAGAAGAGAGAGAGAGAGAGAGAGGGGGGTGGAATAGAAAGCTGTAACCATGACTTGTAAGGAGGGGGTATTGTCATGCAGAGTTCACACAGACTAGTACATTATACGCAGGAGGAGGAGAAGAGAGAGAGAGAGAGAGAGAGAGAGAGAGAGAGAGAGAGAGAGGAGGGGGAATAGAAAGCTGTAACTCTCACTTGTAAGGAGGGGGTATTGTCATGCAGAGTTCACACAGACTAGTACATTATACGGAGGAGGAGGAGGAAGAGAGAGAGAGAGAGAGGAGGGGGGGAATAGAAAGCTGTAACTCTCACTTGTAAGGAGGGGGTATTGTCATGCAGAGTTCACACAGACTAGACATTATACGCAGGAGGAGGAGGAAGAGGGAGAGAGAGAGAGGAGGGGGGGAATAGAAAGCTGTAACTCTCACTTGTAAGGAGGGGGTATTGTCATGCAGAGTTCACACAGACTAGTACATTATACGGAGGAGGAGGAGGAAGAGAGAGAGAGAGAGAGAGGGGGGGGGGGAATAGAAAGCTGTAACTCTCACTTGTAAGGAGGGGGTATTGTCATGCAGAGTTCACACAGACTAGTACATTATACGGAGGAGGAGGAGGAGGAGGAAGAGAGAGAGAGAGGGGGGGGGGGGGGGGAATAGAAAGCTGTAACTCTCACTTGTAAGGAGGGGGTATTGTCATGCAGAGTTCACACAGACTAGTACATTATACGCAGGAGGAGGAGGAAGAGAGAGAGAGAGAGAGAGGGGGGGAATAGAAAGCTGTAACTCTCACTTGTAAGGAGGGGGTATTGTCATGCAGAGTTCACACAGACTAGTACATAATACGCAGGAGGAGGAGGAAGAGAGAGAGAGAGAGAGAGAGGAGGGGGAATAGAAAGCTGTAACTCTCACTTGTAAGGAGGGGGTATTGTCATGCAGAGTTCACACAGACTAGTACATTATACGCAGGAGGAGGAGGAAGAGAGAGAGAGAGAGAGAGAGGAGGGGGAATAGAAAGCTGTAACTCTCACTTGTAAGGAGGGGGTATTGTCATGCAGAGTTCACACAGACTAGTACATTATACGGAGGAGGAGGAGAAGAGAGAGAGAGAGAGAGAGGAGGGGGGGAATAGAAAGCTGTAACTCTCACTTGTAAGGAGGGGGTATTGTCATGCAGAGTTCACACAGACTAGTACATTATACGCAGGAGGAGGAGGAAGAGAGAGAGAGGGAGAGGAGGGGGGGAATAGAAAGCTGTAACTCTCACTTGTAAGGAGGGGGTATTGTCATGCAGAGTTCACACAGACTAGTACATTATACGGAGGAGGAGGAGGAAGAGAGAGAGAGAGAGAGAGGAGGGGGGGAATAGAAAGCTGTAACTCTCACTTGTAAGGAGGGGGTATTGTCATGCAGAGTTCACACAGACTAGTACATTATACGCAGGAGGAGGAGGAAGAGAGAGAGAGAGAGAGGGGGGGGGGGGGGAATAGAAAGCTGTAACTCTCACTTGTAAGGAGGGGGTATTGTCATGCAGAGTTCACACAGACTAGTACATTATACGGAGGAGGAGGAGGAAGAGAGAGAGAGAGAGAGAGGAGGGGGGGAATAGAAAGCTGTAAACTCTCACTTGTAAGGAGGGGGTATTGTCATGCAGAGTTCACACAGACTAGTACATTATACGCAGGAGGAGGAGGAAGAGAGAGAGAGAGAGAGAGGGGGGGGGGGGAATAGAAAGCTGTAACTCTCACTTGTAAGGAGGGGGTATTGTCATGCAGAGTTCACACAGACTAGTACATTATACGGAGGAGGAGGAGGAAGAGAGAGAGAGAGAGAGAGGGGGGGGGGGAATAGAAAGCTGTAACTCTCACTTGTAAGGAGGGGGTATTGTCATGCAGAGTTCACACAGACTAGTACATTATACGGAGGAGGAGGAGGAGGAGGAAGAGAGAGAGAGAGAGGGGGGGGGGGGGGAATAGAAA